GGGGGGGGGGGGGGGGGGGGTTTGGGTGGAATAGGTTTTGTCAAGAAAATTTTTGCTACCAAACAACAAAAAAGTGGGAACTTGGATCATGGAAAATATGATGAATCAAACAGGCCCTAAGTCATTTCATTGACAAACATCGATCAAAACACCAAATATCTTTAAGTCAATTCACCATCACCATCATCTACCAACTCGACCACTACTACATTGTCCAATGATCCGTCACATTAAATTCCTCATCCAACTCAGTACTCTCCACACTCTCTACACCCTCCGAGTCATCATCATAGTTGCTATGATCACCAACAATTGAGCTTCCACAACCTAATTCTTGCTCCACACTAGATCATTGATTCTATCAACAAAATTTCAATTTTTTGTATAAATATATTGCATAAACCCCAATGCACCTAGAATCTGGAATGATTTTAACATAATAGTTGCCCTGAATAGTTTCACACGACCTCCTCGCACATGATAGCCCACTGCAACTTTAAACAATTCATTGAGCTCCTTTTCTTTTGCCTCCACCTCTTCTTTCTTCTTCTGTTAATTCTGCCCCCCCCACCCAAAATGGGGAGGGGGGGGGGGGTAATCAATCAATAAATAGTCGAATGTATTCCTCAAAAACATAATGAATGAGTTTAAAGCATATACATTTAGATACTGGGCTTCTTCCTACCAGAATAAGGTTCCTTATTTAAAGCAGCTCTACCAAAATTGAACCATTTTATTCTTTCTTTATCACCAAACTCCATTGCAAGATTCAGAGATAAAAAATAATAAAATCTAATTTCACATAATTTCCCAAAAAATCACAAACCCATTGAGCAATGCAAGCTAAGCAGACGTCGAAGGAGAATAAAGCAAATAGTCTTGGGCAAGTTGAATACATACAGAGATACATACGAATATTTAATACAGATACATAAGGAGAAGAAAGAAAATAGTATTTCATGAATCAACGACTCTTTTTCCTCCAAAACCTCAAGTGATGAAGTTTGAAATTCTTTGGGTTCAAATTCAGATTCAAGTGTAGCAGAACGGTGACATTAATTAGGTGAGATGGTTTCTTTGGAAGCTTTCTGGAAGTTCGGGAACTTGAGAGACTGATTTGGGTTTTTGGGGGTGGTTTTGATAGTTTTAGAACGTATTAAATACGTGATTAAATCATTTAATTAATTAATAGTGTATTAATCAAATTAGTTATTTTTTCAGGGTATTGGACCAAATTTGCTCATTAGACATTTCCCCCCTATAAACCCAATTAAAATAGGAAAAAAGTGATAAGTAGAAGGTTACATGATTCAAAAATGAAAAATCAGGTCCAATGTTTATAATTGGAAAAATCTTGGAATTGGTCACATTTTGAACTATTTTATTGAAAATAAACTAGAATAATTAATCAGAATTTAGCTAATTAGTTGGCTTTTCCTTTCCAGACCTTCTCTTTAATTGTAGCGGACGAATCTCTTCACTTTAATGTTGTCTCCATGGACTACTAGGAACAAATTCTGGCTTATTAGTACAAAACGTCCATACATTTCGCTCTTAGTATGCAAAATATCTTCACATTTCAATTTTTTGCATTGTCACACATATTTCAACGTTTCATTGTGGAAAACATCATTTTCATCAACTTTTATCTAATTTCTCAATTAAAATTTGTAAAATGACAAATATATCCTCCTATTTAAATAAAATAAAAGGAAAGAAAAAATAAAAAACAAATTGCAATCATACTCCTATTTTTTAAAAGAAGTACGAATAAATCCAAAATAAACTAAAAAAAAAAAGAAAAAAAGAAAAGAAAAGAAAAGCCTTCTTCTTCTTCTTCTTCTTCCCCCTCTCCCTCTCCTTCTCTCACCCACTCCCATCCCCACCCCCACCACGATACGAAACCAGAAAGTAGATTGAAAAATACTAGAGGATGTAGAAATACTAAAAACCTGTCTCATATTTCTAACTAAATGATGTAGAAATACTTAAATTGGTTTTATGATTAAACAAAAGATGACTTTTCTTCTCATTATTATTAGTGGCATTGTTTTGACTTCCACAAGCTTTCTTGAATGAGAATGACTTTTCTGTAGGTGGCACTCATGGTATTAAGATGGGGCACTACATTTCTTGAGAACCTCCATTTCTTGCCATCCGTTCGCTTGCACCTTTCTAGATAACCAGTCACTGTACTAAAACACCAATGCCAAGAAGCATCTTTTAAAATCCACATCTTATTGAGTACCAAAAGTGTAAAAAAAAGAAATCATCGTAGAAAAAGAAGATTAGCAAGAAAAAGAAGATCAGCAGGCACATGGGTG